GACCCAGGCTCAAATCTCTACTCTGTCAAGGTGTTCATCACTTGACCGTGGATCAGTCACACACACTTACCCTAACCTATATCACAGGGTTGTTAGGAGAAGATGAACTACTTTGGGTCCCAATTGTGGGAAAAGGCAGGGCATAGATGAAGAAGGTGAAGATGGGGGACAAATAAGATTGCCATCCCCCTGATGGGGGTGGAGGTTCCCCCACTTTTGGGGCTCTCAATCCGCTGCTGCCCAGCTGGCTGGCAAGGGGAGCCCTGTTCCCAAGCAGCCCCTCCTGTGCTTGACATGCCAAGCACAATGACATCACGCAGAGGTGATATCATTGTGCAGGGCGCATAGTGCAGGGGATGCTCTAGCGTTTGGGGAAAAGATGCTATGGTAACCACAGAGTTTCCTCCCAAATGCTAGAGCGTCCCCTGTGTGACACGCCCTGCATGATGACATCACTTCCGGATGCACCAGAAGACTCAAGAAAGAAGACTGGAGCCCCCTGCTGGATTGTGGTAAGGATCTGGCAACCCTAGGGGCAGATAAAAGATTGATTGATGGGTGGAAAGGAGAGAGGGGGAATATGATGCTATGGGCGTTGCCAGGAGGAGGGAGTACAGGGGAAAGTGAAGTGCCTCCTGCAAGTCTTTGCAGCTTCTCCATTGGGCAACTGCACCCAGCCTGGAGTCTGACATCATGCAACTGGGCACGGTCCAATCTGCTGGCTGGAAACACACAAAGTTTTCCTAGAGAAAGGTTGCCAGGGGAAGGAAGATGGGAAAGCTGAAGATAGGGCAGAGAAAGGTAAGCTGGCTTGTATGTGGAAAGGACAGAAGGAAGCAGGAACAGGGAAAAAGGAAACAGTGGAGGAGAGGAAAATGAAATACCCCTGTAAATACTTGCAGGTCTCCTGCTTACACACACACACACACACACACCTCAACATGAACCCATCTGTGGATACTTGAATCCAGAGATTGGAGCTTTGTACCTATAAGACAGATCTTTCTACAAACCTGAAAAAAGCCCCAGGTTTGCAGCAAAATCTGAATTCTTTTTTTTAAAAAGTACATTGGGGATCCCACCCCCCACTACAGAAACACTACCTGTAGCTTTAAGAAGCAAATACCCTCTCAATAGCCACTGTGGTCATTACTATGCTTCAGGGCAGGGGTGGCCAAACTGCGGCTCGGGAGCCACATGCAGCCCTTTCACACATATTGTGCGGCTCCCGGCAGGGTGGCTGAGGAAGCGAAGGGGAGGTATGTCTCCCCAATCAGTCTCCCCTTCCCCAGTCAGTGTTCCCCTCCCTGGATAGGCTTGAGGTGGGGGGGAACAGAGTAAGAAAGCAACTTTAAATGTGTTCTCAAAGCCCCCCACCACTGGCCAGCTTGGAGAAGGCATTTGTCTCTTTAAATCCCTTCTCCAAAACAAACTGGCCGGTATGGGAACGGAGGGAGCTTGAAGGGCGCATTTAAAGTTGCTTTCTTTCCACCTCTTCCTCCCACCCTCCCAATTTATTTGCTTTCTTTCCACCTCTCTCTTTTCCTCTTCCTTCTCTTATCTATTTGCTTTCTTTCCACTTTTATTTTCACCTTTCTCTCTCTACCCTCTCAATAGCCACTGTGGTCATTACTATGCTTCAGGGCAGGGGTGGCCAAACTGCGGCTCGGGAGCCACATGCAGCCCTTTCACACATATTGTGCGGCTCCCGGCAGGGTGGCTGAGGAAGCGAAGGGGAGGTATGTCTCCCCAATCAGTCTCCCCTTCCCCAGTCAGTGTTCCCCTCCCTGGATAGGCTTGAGGTGGGGGGGAACAGAGTAAGAAAGCAACTTTAAATGTGTTCTCAAAGCCCCCCACCACTGGCCAGCTTGGAGAAGGCATTTGTCTCTTTAAATCCCTTCTCCAAAACAAACTGGCCGGTATGGGAACGGAGGGAGCTTGAAGGGCGCATTTAAAGTTGCTTTCTTTCCACCTCTTCCTCCCACCCTCCCAATTTATTTGCTTTCTTTCCACTTTTATTTTCACCTTTCTGTCTCTCTCCCCCTCCCTCCATTTCTCTTTCTGGCCCTTTCTGCACTCTCCTTTTAATCCATGTTCACTGTGGTGTTCTCCAAGCAATTCTGCACTAAAACCGAATTCAAGCTTCTTTTAATCCAGGTTCACCCCATTCTTCTGCACTAAAATCAAGTTCAACCTTCTTTTTATTCTGTGCCCCTCCCCCCCAAAAAATTCTGCACTACATTACCTCCCTTCTGTGACTAGCCCGGTTTCAGCCTGCTTTTGCCCCAGGTTATTTGGATGCTGTTTTGCCGTGGACTTACACTGCCTCAACTCGAACACTAAGAAAATCCAGAGTGTTAGGCAAATGTGGAAAGGACATCTCCCTTCCTTCCTTCCCCTCCTTCATCTATTTGATTTCTTTTCTCTCTCTCTCTTTTCTTTTCCACCTCTTTCATTCTCTTTCCACATCTCTCTCACTTTCTCTCTCTCTCTTAGACAAATAAATATCATTATCAAACAAATAAATATTATTGGACAAATATCATTAGCAAAATCTGTTTTTACCCCTTGTTTTATTTTTGGCAGTCCCATTTAATGTTAATAAAAAGCAAATTTGCATATTTTTCAATAAAAATGTATGTGTAATATTTGTCCATGTCTTGTGGCTCTTTGGGACCTGTAAGCTGCTTTGGGACCTGTGGAAAAAGGTGGGGTATAAATGAAATAAATAATATAGCTGAAGATGGGAGGCAGATTAGTTTATTAGTGGGTGGGTAGGAGAGAAGGATGCAGAGAAAGGTTAGAATATGGGAGTTGGCTACTAGGAAAGTGAGGAAATGATGTAGGGTGGGGGATACAGGAGAAACAGGTGCCACCCACAAGTCCTTCTGAGTTTCTCATCATGCAACTAAGCCTGACCTGGACACCAACCATGCAGTTTCCTGGAGAAAGTTTGCCAGGGGAAGGAAGGTGGGAAAGCTGAAAATAGGGCGGAGAAAGGCAGGAAAAGTGAATAGGCTATAGGGGTTTTCAGGGAAGAGAAAGGAAAACTAGTTGAGGAGGGGGAAACAAGATGTTCCTTGAACGTTCTTGCAGGTCCCTCACTCGTATTTTATAGTTATACAACATAAGTCTGTAGTTTCTTTCTGTAAAGGAGTTTGCATTTTTTATCCTATATCTCAAGCTGCTACACAGCAGAGAAGAGAGCTGTGCATTGACAAAAAGTGAGACTTTCATTTATGTTCTTAATACTCTTCCCTTGTACCAGTTCACTACCATAAAATGTGAACAGCAACAAGACATTTTTTGATTCTGGAAGGATGAACAATACAAAGCCTGGTGGCACTTTAAAGAATAAGTCATTGTGGCATAAGCTTTTGAGAGTCAGATTCAGATGCACTGTGCCTACCCCACAAGACTCTTATTTTGGTTAAAATAGACTAATTCTGCTGTCCCAATGGAAGTAGAAAGTGGATGCCAGTTAACCAGTTCAGCCTTTTGTCATATCTTGCTTTTGAAACTAAAGCTCACCTAAAAATTCTAAGCATTGAGAACTGAAAATGGACTGTTGCAAAGTTTCCAGCTGGGGATTCCAATGAGGAAGTGGCTTACACCCTCTAGCCTTATTCAATGGACATAGTTTTTTATGCCTGAGCAACTCTGCGGGGGCTTGCAACATTCAAAAAGTCAATAAACAGACCACCCCAGAATATTAGGTTTATGGCAGTACCGTATGATACCATAATCGGGGGCTGTAGTGTTTTAAAAACTATTTCAGTATGGTTGCCGCTTCCTTGCCAGTTGTTTGGTTTTGCAGTGCACTCATTCTTGTCCTTAACCATGCTCAATACCACCACCTGGAGGCAGAAAAATCAGCATAAATGCAGCCATAAAAGTAAAGGTTTCCCTTGCTCAAAAGCTAGTCATACATAGGTATACAATTATGGCCATAAGCTCTAGGTGTCAAACTCATTTGTTACGAGGGCCAGATCTGACATACAGATCTGACATAGGGCACTGCCATAGAGAAATGAGAAAACTTTGAAATGTACGCAATCTTAAAGCACTATTTATTTTTTTAATTACGTGAACATAAGAACTTAATATCTTTGAAAATGATTTTTCTAATATATTCATGCTTGTCAACTTCAAAGCACTTTATTTGATTTGTTAACCAAGAATATGACACATTAAATACAGCATTCCTTTAAAAAATTATAGAATTTTTTAAAATAAACAAAAATACAGAAAAGGGGGGGGGGAAGAAAAGAGAAAAAAGAAGCTGAGAAGACAATACCAATGAAACCATCTGTTAACCTAGAGCCCGACACAGTAAAACAGCATTCCTATTGTGCTATTAATATATGGGTAAATCATGCAAGAGGCTCTGGTTTCTGAGGATTTAGCATTTAAACTGATCTTACCATCAAGGTTATTTGTGCTTCCCCCTTGTACTCTTCTGCTCAAAAAACTTTCCCTGATGAGTGAACACTCTAACCATGAAATCATATATCAGAAGCAATCTAGTCTGTATCAGTAACAGATGGTTGAAAATGTTACAGCATACAACATTTCAGCATTCGACAATAACATATACAATATCAATAAGGAATTATAATTTATAGAAAAATGAATAATATATTATATTATAGAAAAATGAATTATATTATATATATATATTTACAAGTCTGAAGTTCTCTATACAATTTGCACGGGGAGGGGGAATATAATTTATGAGGGGTTTTTTACAGTGGAATTTAAAAAGCAAGACATTTCTATGGTCAGCTGATCTATCAAGACGATGAAAAGAATGAAAAGACGATTAAAGAATCATTTAAGTTGGGTGCTATCATCCGTTCTAGGAGGTTAAACCCAGCCTATTGATGTCAATAGCAACACTCCCACTTTATTGGCTCTAGATTTCCCTTCTTTAATATGTTTAGCCTAATCAAGACAGTAAAAGTTCAGC